CTCGTTTAAAGGCCGCTGGTGAGGAGTGGGGGGCGGAGGAGGCGAAGCCCCGGGCAGCGCCGGGCTGGGGCGAGCAGCGCGCCTGCGGGGCTCAAGGTCAGAGCTGATGAGTTTGCCGGGGCTGCTCAGCATCCAGCGGGGGCCGGTGCGCGCAGGGACAGGGAGGTGCTGCCTCAGCAGGCTCCTGCGCCCGTCCCCTCTGCAGAGCCCCGCTGGGTGGTTGCTGAGCAGGGTATGGCTGCACGTAGCTGCTTATCTCAAGCGAGGGAGAAGAGTTGGGTGGCAGTATCTTGGGGCCTGCTCACTGCAGGCTGGCTGCTTTACCAAGAGCCCATGACCCAGGAGTCTGCATAAGAGGCTGAGCAGGGTTCTCTTCATCGGCCTTTAAACGAGCTGACCAGGGGACCCCTTCACAGCTCTGCGTCTGGTAGATGGGGAAAGTAAAACCGAGTTTCCCCTAAAACAAGCTCCCTTTAGCATGTGTTGTGGTGCTGGTTTGGCTTTTGCTTATAGCCTAATTTAACTGCTCAGTCTGCACTATCTTTCAGAAGAATTGGTGTTTGCTTTTTGCTGCTCCGGTGCTTGGCTCCCATCAGCCTGCAGGTGGCAATGGGAACCTCTTAGCCCCACTTAAACCAGCGGAGATGCTCTGAAGGCAGCTGGGTTTATTTCACAGACCTCATAAGAACACAGTTAATTGTGCTGTAGTAATATCTGAGTGTTGCCCATCAGACGGTTTTCCTACCTAAGTTCCTGGAATGATTCAGGCTATGTTCATGGGGTAAAGTTAATGCAGCTGTCATTTGCTGTACTCCAGTGTCAGAGGAGAAAGATGAGGAATTGCTGCACATTTCTCCAGTGTCACAAGATGGGCATGAAAAGCCTGTAAGGGTGGTAGGTGCTCTGTTTTGGAAGAAGACTGTAGATGAGGTCTGGCCTTGAACAGTTGCTGGGGCAAGATTGTCTCAATTAGTTCTTCCATGAAGATGCCAGTGTCAGGTCAGATGTTCTTTTGCTCAGCAAGCTGCTGCAAAGCTCTCTTGTAGATCAAAATGGAGTAAACTTGAGGGGAAAAAACCATTCTCCTGACAATCACATTGTCAGCACAGGTTCCAGTGTGTGTCCCTGGGAAGGGGACGTGTTCCAGAAATAGTCACTCAAGGGAGAGGGCATGGCTGGCACTGAGTAGACTGGCTTGCTTGGATCTGAAGGATTTTGGTGTTTGTGCTGTCCTGAATATGGAATTTGAGTGTTCCCATCATGTGTCCTTCTCAGGAGGTTTGATTTTCTCATTGCACCTTTAGGTTTCAGTTACATGTTGAAATACTGTATGGCTTCCAAAGCAACCTGCAAATTAACTGCTTTGCTTCATTACAGACAAACCTCCCCATCTTCAAATTGAAGGAGTCATGTGTGAGGAGACGATACAGCGACTTTGAGTGGCTGAAGAATGAGCTGGAGCGAGACAGTAAGGTGAGGCCTGGCTCAGACCTCCCTATTCGTTAAGCCAGGATGTGGGAACAGTTCAGCAATAATCTTGAGATTCCCAAAAGTGAGACTATGGTGGTGGATGTTGCACCCCAGACACGTAAATCTAGGGATTAAACTGAGGTTCCTTTATTCTAGTTTGGTGCAAGGAGAAATCCCAACCAGGTATTCTCAAAAGGCCACAAATTCACAAAAGTTTACTGGCAAAAATACAGAAAATTAAGGAATTTTGGCAAAGGAGTAAATACACTTATAAAACATTTATTATAACATAACTGAGAATTAATTTACTATTAACTTAGTATAAACTTATCCCATTTAGAAAACTTTAAAACCTTAAGTTGCTATGTTACCCAAAATGTTCCATGAAAAAAGGATTAGAAGGAGAAGAAAAAGACAGAAAAGGTACAGAAAAACACACATAGCTACCAACCTCTAGGGTTCCAGCATGGGTGAGATAGAAACTCCAGGAGAAGATAGGGCCCAGACAAGTAGGTCCCTCACAGGGGCTTTTAAACCCCAGGGCCTTCGTGGCCCCCTCCCAGGGCGGAGCTTCTGGTCACTCGGCCACTCAGGGGCTGGGATGCTGGCTCTGGGCAGGGGGGGGTTGAGTGTTTCACTGTCTTGCCTTCACAAGACCTGATCTGCCCCTCCCACCAAACACATGGGCATTTGCCAAGCATCCCAAAGTGTTTTGAGACATGAAACTTAAGCAGTCTCTGACAGCGAGCACCTTCTGTGTTCTATCCATGTGATGGCACTGGAGATGGGCATCCAACAGCAAAGGATATCTACTTGCAGGTGGCTGTTCTGCTCATGGGGTGATTGTGTTCTTTCAGATTGTAGTGCCACCGCTGCCTGGAAAAGCTTTGAAACGACAGCTTCCCTTCCGAGGAGATGAAGGCATCTTTGAGGAATCTTTCATCGAGGAGCGGAGACAGGGCCTAGAACAGTTTATTAACAAGTAAGCTCAGTGTCCTGGCTTTGCTGTGTGCTGCCTCTTTAGCTGTTGCTGGGCTGTGGGTTGACTTTGAGAGAGACTTGACCTGCTACTGGCAGGTGCCAGTGTTGGAGGGTGGTGCCTACAGCCACGTAATGAAACTGGAACTGGAGCAAGTCCTGCCCTGAGTGGGGGTTGTGCTTTGTGCTCTCTCCTGAGAGCATAGTGAGTATTAGCAGAACAGCTGTGCTACAGGGACCCACCAATATGGCTCAGGGCACGGCGTGGAAGGGAACAGCCTGTGCTCAAGCGCCTCTTACTGGTCCTGTTGCAGAGCGATGTGTGACCTTGGGTTGAGCGCAGTGCAGGTGTGCTGAGCTGGCTGCCTGACTCCCTCCTCAGACATCAGAGGCGTGGGGGTCTTGGAGGCAGCTGTGCTAACCTCCACATCTGATTTTCTTCCAGAATTGCTGGACACCCACTGGCACAGAATGAGCGCTGCTTACATATGTTCCTGCAAGAGGAGACTATTGATAGGAATTACGTCCCAGGGAAAGTGCGCCAGTAGGAGCACCTGGCACTGTCTTCCTCCATTCCACCCTCCCTCCTGCAAAAATGACATTTATTTTTACACTAAATCTGTCTTCTCTGAACCAGCTTTTCCTCTCTTGAACCTCCCAGTTTGTTCAGTATTTTCCTCTTTTGTAACTGGCAGCAGTTTGTTCTACTGGGCTGTGGTTGTGGTCTAAAGATGTGAAGATTGATGCAAGTGAGCGCGTTGTCCCACATCTAGGGGCAGATGTGGATAGGTGTGGAGCAGGAAATTGCTAATGGCATTACGGTGTAGGAGCTGCCTCTCTCCCTGTACAGGAAGGTATGAGATGACCTTCACTCCCTTGTCTGTGCAGCCCCAAGCACCTCTGCAGGAGACTTTGAAGAATAGCAGTTGTCATGTTGGTCAGTGATTATATCAGGTATTAGAGTTTTAGTAAGGTTTATCCAAACCAGTGAGTAGGTGCCTGGGTGTGTCAGTCTGTCATCCACCCCATTCACCCTGCATGAAACCCCCATTCTTCACTGTCTGGAAGTGCTGAGACCCAACACCTACTCAAACCCCGCTATCAGCCTCCTGCATTACAGACCTGTTTGGTGTATTTGTGGCCCCTCCTTTCTAAGGTGCTGCTGGCAGCTCAAACTGTTTCCATCTTCTGTGCTCTCATGAAGCTCTGTGTGGGCCATTTGGCACGTGGAAGATGGGACAGTCTGGGCTGTAGCCACGTGTTCTGTGATGCATTGGCCCAGAGTTTAACAGCCTGTCGTACTATGGGCTGCTGGGCTGGTGTTGCTTGCAGCACCCTGCTCAGCTGAGCCTAGTGACCTTATCTTGGGCCCCAGCTGCTGGGAGGAGCAGAGGGTCTGGCTAAGGAGGAGCAAGAGAAAGCTGGTGGGAACAGCTGTAGGATGTATCCATGATGGCTGCTGCAGGAGGAGCCCAGCAGTGGGGCCCAGAGTGAGGCCACCTCTCCAGAAAAGGACAGCAGAAAATGGTCAGTCAGTCCTAGATTAGACATTTGCTTACAAAGCAGGGGAAGTAGCAGTGTTCTTTGTGTGTTCTCCCCTGTTCTGCAGTGAGCTAGGCAGTCACTTATGTGGAAGTGGAAACATATGACTGGTCAGAGAAGTGTTCACAGCTTGAGGGGACAATGAGGCTGTGACTTGCTGTAGCAGAAGTGTCTTTTGGAGGCTCCCCCAGCTGCCACAGCTGTGATTAGTGGAGGTTGGGCCTCAGTTCAGGGGCTCCTCAGGTCAAGGCTGGCTGGTATATAAGCGCTTGATCACTTTGTTGTGGCACAGTTGAGCCCTTCTTGGAGCACAGGCCTACAGTGGATGCCCTCCTGTTCCTGCTAGGCACGTTCCCCGAGGTCTTCCCAACGTCTCCTCTGTTTTCTGGTGAGGAACTGGCACTGCTGGGCGAGAGGTGGCTCCTGGGGAGAAGTCGCTGAAAGCGCGAGGGAGCTGCTCCGGGGGCTGGCTCGGCCCGGAAAGGGCCGTGGGGCAGCGTGGAGCCTGGT